TTTTTTTTTTTTTTTTTTTTTTTATACAGGGAGAGTAACGAATCTCTAAAGTGTCTTCGTTTCATTGGAATAATCCGTCGAAATTTTTAATCGGCGAAATGAACGTTGAAGAGAATTTATAAAAGAACAATCTTCCTTTGAATCGTTCGCTCATTTTTAACGAGAAATAATAACGCGTTAAAAGATCCATTAAATTAAAAGATAATATCAAGCATTCAACGCTATTATCTTCGTCCGAATAAAAAACAATCTCGAAACAGATATCTGATGAAACGAGATATTGAAAACAAATAAAGGTTAAGGATAAAAATCTCGGAAAAAGATATACCAAAAAAAAAAAAAAGAAACGATCAAAGGAATTCAAACAAAAAGGTTTCAAAAGCTAAGAGGAAAAAATTTCAAAGGTAAAAGGTAAAAATATAATCTCAAAGAGTATAATCCCAACAATCAAAGGGGGGAGGGGGGAAAGAGGAGTTGAAAAGAGAAATTTTGAAAAACTCGTATCAAAAGGTTAATTTCAAAGGAAAAGGTAAAAAAGGCTCGGCTCGAATCGCAAACTATCGATCACCGACTCGATCTCGGCTCGAGTCCGCATTTCCACTGCGCCAACCTAATGACGGTCGTTCGTATCCGGCCGTTCGAGGGTCAACAGACACACGTCGCAAACAGGGTGGCTGACCCAAAAACCGGGAAGGACGATCTCGCGCGCGCCGGACAAACAGAGCATGAAATTTTCAATAAAACGCAACTCCCCCGTGTGTGTACAGGCGAGCCGGGTGACCTGAAAGAAGACTGACCCGAAAAGGAATATCCGCTACTTTATCAGATGGAGACGAAACGTGGGCACAAGTTTAATATTCTCTTCGTGAAGATGAGATATCTTCGGAACTTGGTTTGTTAAAGTAAATTAATGAATAACATTGGGCAAATATGAGGGACAATGAAGGCAATCAGCGAAGGCAAACGTCGATTATATTACACGTGATCTGTTTTTACAGAGACGTGGAGAGGCTCTCTTGAACGACTTTGACAGGCATAGGGTTGGAATACGTACTCGATAAATCTCAGCGATGATGGATCACGTATTTCCAGATGTTTGTATTCTTGTTCTACTTAATCAGACTAAATAAAATTTTTTCAGTGCAAGCAGAATAAATTTATAAGGAGTTACAATGAATTTCTAAGTGAAAATAATCAAAAGCATTTTGAATAATGCATGATACATT